TCAGAGAAATACAGGCAGAAAAGGAAATGAAGCAGCTTCAGGAGGACAGAAAGAATGACAAGAAACCTCCTCCATACAGGCACATTAAGGTACTGTGTCATCACATACTCATTCATCTATTTCTGTCTTGAGCAAGGACCAGTCCTGTAACTTCTATGTTTGAAAAAACAATCATGGCATTGTCTGTGATTCATAGGTAAACCGGCCCATTGGGAAGGTGCAGATCATCACAGCTGACCTATCAGAGATCCCACGCTGTAACTGTAAGGCGACTGATGAGAACCCCTGCGGCGTCGACTCGGAGTGCATTAACCGCATGCTGATGTACGAGTGCCACCCTCAGGTGTGTGTAGCAGGAGAGCGATGTCAGAACCAGGCCTTCACAAAGCGCCAGTACACACCTGTGGAGATTTTCAGGACACTGTCGCGCGGGTGGGGTTTACGTGGTTTGTCCGACATCAAGAAGGTAGGTTAGAAGAAATAAGTCAAAGGAATTGTGGTTAGTATCTTATAATTATTCATATTTTTTTATAATTTTTGTTTTTCTCTCTTGCTTCCCAGGGAGCTTTTGTGAGTGAATATGTAGGAGAAATGATAGATGAAGAAGAATGTCGAGCCAGGATCAAACATGCCCAGGAGAATGACATCTCTAACTTCTACATGCTTACACTGGACAAGGTGATTATGAGGATGATAGTCACAAACACAGCAATCTGTATATAGATACAGTTCAGCAACACAATTAATTCATAATGTAGGTCAAATGCTTTGTGCAAACAAGTCTGTATTTTGCTATGCCAGGACCGAATCATTGATGCCGGGCCAAAAGGGAACCAGGCTCGCTTCATGAACCACAGCTGCCAGCCAAACTGTGAGACTCAAAAGTGGACTGTGAATGGGGACACCAGGGTGGGTCTGTTTGCTCTCCAAGACATCCCAAAAGGTTTGAATGACAGGTCATGAGACTTTCTGGTATTTTCTATTTTATAGAATTGTACAACAGAGCTAATGCAACATATGCTTTAGGTGTGGAGCTGACTTTCAATTACAACCTGGAGTGCCTTGGCAATGGGAAAACTGTCTGTAAATGTGGAGCACCCAACTGCAGTGGTTTTCTGGGTGTCCGGCCAAAGGTAAAAGCTTAGATTTAAAATGTTTTAGTTCTGGGAACAGTTTCACCCTACAGGTGACCACCCTTGCTTAAATTTACAACTTAAAAGAAGAGCTGCATTGTAACCCTCTTTTTCTTGTCCCTGCACAGAACCAGCCATCAGCTGAGAAGATGAAACTTAAGGAAGGGAAAAGAAAGGTCCCCATGAAGAAGAAGACCAAGCAAGAAGTGACCAAGGAGAGGGAAGATGAGTGCTTCAGCTGTGGTGACGGGGGACAGATAGTGTCCTGTAAGAAGCCGGGTTGCCCTAAGGTTTATCATGCTGACTGTCTCAATCTGGCCAAGAGGCCTGCAGGCAAGTAGAAACAGGACTGGTACTGTTTATGTGAGGGCGACTTGAAACCCATATTGTGCTACCAAAGGGCCACTGTTGAGTCTAAATTGTAGTGTAGCCATACTGAAGTATTGAATATTGCACTCAATTTCAATTTATTTATAAAGTAATAAAGAAATGATTTAATGACTTAATGAAGTTCCTTATTTTGGAAATCTTTGGAAAATTTTCTTTTGACAAACAAAACTTAATATATGCCTATTAACCTAAGAAAAAAAAAACCTTAAGATATTTTCTGTCCTGAGTAATGACTGAATGTTGTCTGCAGGGCGGTGGGAGTGTCCATGGCACCAGTGTGATGTCTGTGGTAAAGAAGCGGCTTCGTTTTGTGAGATGTGCCCAAGCTCATACTGTAAGGAGCATCGTGAGGGCATGCTCTTCATCTCCAAGCTGGATGGCAAGCTATCCTGCAGTGAGCACGACCCCTGTGGGCCCGACCCGCTGGAGCCAGGGGAGATTCGTGAATACGTGCCCACCATAACCTCTGTGAGACCAGGGGCCACGACTATACCTTTCTCTCCCTCACTGGTCCCGAACTCAAGAAGGACCACTTCTTCTTCTGCTTTCATCCCTTCCTCTCCCGACCAAAAAGCGCCGGTCAGGCAGGAACCCCCTCCTCGTCTATACATCAACACAAAGACTGCTACCTCAAGCTTCATCCCATCCAGTAGGTCGTACCTCACAGACAGGACTGATGGGAAAGCACTTTCCACTCCTACCTCCTCTAGAGACGAGAGAGAGGATGGTGAGGTGGAGGACGGGGATGTATGTGGTTTAGAAATGGAGGAGGTGGAGGATGACGACGATGATGATGAGGAGGAGGAGGAGGAGGAGGAAGAAGAGGAAGAGGAGGAGGAAGATGATGAGATGAAGGAAATGGAGATAGTGGAAGATGATGAAGACGAGCCGCAGTATGGAGATGACCTGTTGGAGGAAGATGAGGATGAAGGAGACGATGTCTATGACAGTTGGTGTGACTATGTGGATGAAGAGGCTGATGATGGAGAGGTGAAGGGGGAGGACTTGGAGGAGTGGGGGCGAGTGGAAGATGATGACAAATGACTCGGTCCACCCATTCCTTGATAACTACTCAGTAAAAACTCTCAATAGATATTCAAAGGATAAAAGAGTTTGATACTGTATTTTGGTACCTACTTGAATGCTACACTGCCTTCACTTTGGTACAGCATTGCCTTCTCATCCCCAGACTGCTGGACTGACAGTGGAGATATGTACTGGTGCTAAGGCTTGGGGACTGATTCAGTCCATCTCTTTATACTTTGTCAATATGTTTATTTGTGTCTGGTGCTGTTAGGTTCTTTCTCTCAACATTGTTTACATTTTGGGGCTTTTTATTATGTTTGGAACATACAAAAAAGATGAGAAGTTTCACCTGACCAAACTGTCGCCATAAGGACATTTTACAGTATGTTGGTGCTCTCTTAACCTTGTCTTTCTAATTACAAGAATGATTTTAAAAAATAGTGTTTTCACTGGTCTGTGTTACAGTTTAGGCACAACAATAACCGCTTGGTTCTTCTGAGGGATTCAAAAATAAACCCACTGGAGTTATGCTTGTAGATGATTCTTCTCATGAGAAAAAAAACGTTTTTTTTGCTTTAACACTTTCTATTAATTAATCCTTTTCCCCTTCTGAAGAGAGCTCAGGATCAGAGATAAATAAAACAATGATATTCCACACCTAACATCACAGATATCACATCATTAGTGTTACATTCATCACTACTGTTCCATTAATTGAATTAGAATAAAATCAAAGTTCTTATTCACTTGTACTTGTGCCCCCATTTCACAATGGTGAAAGACATTTTCAAAGTAAATACACCAGTACTACAGTGCTGAAACACATTGTTACAAACATTCAAAATTTGACAAAAAATGTGTCCAATAAATACATGTAAGGCGCCTACAACATTATGCAGAATGTCTAATATCAGAATAAAAGTATAATGTATGTATAGCATTGGATTATAATTGATGCTGGTAAAAAGTGAAGGATTTATATTCTGCTGGGTAGCTAATTAGTGGTTATGTTCTACTGGTTAGCTAATCTATAGGAACATAGACATATTTTTTGTTTATTATAGTTAGTCTTAATTTAAATATGCTAAGTAACTAAATCGTTAGAAAGTTAAAAGTACAATATTTGCTTCTGAAATCTGGTGGGGTCCAAGTATAAAGCGCATAAAATGGATAACGCAAGTATAATAAGTAGCTGAAAATTGTAATTTAAGTACGGTATTTTAGTTTCTTTAACACACTGAGTTGCTACTGTGTAAAATTAGCATAACTGACATTTCACTCGTGTTATGAAACCGTAGAGAAAGATCGAATTAAACTGGTGAGCAATGTAACAAGCGTGATGGAAATGAAGGCGAATGGCGCAGGCGTCAGCTGCTACCACATACATCAACACCACAGAAGAAGAAAGGACGCGACGTAGCTGTGCTGAGTGTAAAATGGCGACGATTGTGTGTCAGTCAAAACACAACTGATGAAGATAAACACGAGAGAAAAGATAGACAAATTTACGTTTTCAAGAGTTATTTGTTTGATCTCAACAAGGTAACCAGGTTATTGATTAATTCAGTGTGTAAAAGGCGAAGTAATTCTTATGTGTTCATTGTACTCAGCTTGTAAACAGCTAACGTTAGCTAGGTTAGCTATCGTTGCAATGACGATGGTCTAACTTTAATTCTGAACAAATGCATTCACTGCTTAATGAAAATGAGTAAGACAGCTCAATGAAGCAGTATGTTCTGACACATTAGTTACTAGGTTACGGTTACACGGCCACGTTGATAACTTGCTGTGTGTTTTTACTGACAGGTTCAGCCATGACCGAGGAGAACAGCGTTAGTTCGGAGGGGATAGTGGGCTTGGATGAGCCCAAGAAGATGACCAGGGAGGATTGGAGGAAGAAGAAGGAGCTAGAGGAACAGAGGAAGCTGGGAAACGCTCCAGCTGAGGTTGACGAGGAGGGGAAGTAAGTTTATATTTGGACAGAAAGGGGATTCTGTTAAATATCTGAAGAAATGCTCCAGATTAACGTTACTTTACAACAGGGGTGGGCAAACTTTTTGATTCAGGGGCCACATTGACTTTTGAAATTTGACAGATGGGCCGGGCCAGCACCAGATGCATACATATCAAACATAAACATATAAAAGGCATTACAGTGTTAATACTTACATTCACTTTTAGTGGGAACAGTGTTGTTGATCACCCTTTTTTGGTAGAGCCAAACAACACCAGCATCCTCTGTGCCATCTTCTGGATGTTTGGATATTTGGCTGCACTTAATGAAGCATAAAACTCATCCAGTTTAAGAGAGTTGAACTTCTCCTTTAAGACGGTGTCACATTGGAGATCAATCAGTTCCAACTGCAACTCCTGTGGCGCCGTTTCAGGGTCTTGTGTGAAGGGACATGACACCAGCTGAAGTGACTTGTCAATTTTTCCAAAATCGGAGAACCGACAGCAGAATTCTCCGTGTAGGTCGTCCAGTGATTTCCTGTGTTTTTTTCACATGTCGAGGGGCCTCTTTCAGCGTAGCCAGTGTGGGGAAATGAGCGAATGACTTATTTGACATTTGCTTTGAGAATAAAGCTAGCTTGGTTTTGAAGGCTCTGACATTTGTGAACATTTCTTGCACAAACTGATCTTTCCCTTGTAGCTTCACGTTCAGCTCATTATGTGTCAGTATGTCCCCAGCAAAAGCTCCAAAAATGAGCTAATCTCCTGTTTGAACTCCCACACTTGTTGACATACTTTCCCCAAACTTAACCAGCGGACAGTGTGATAAAGCAAGTCCTGGTGATCAGCGTCAGTTTCTTCAAGAATCTTAATAAACTGACAATGCTGAAGTCCCCTGGCTCGAATAAAGTTAATGAGTTTTACAACTGTCTTCATTACGTGGTCAAGCTGCAGTACGGATTTACACAGTGCTTCCTGGTGGATTATGCAGTGTAGGAAAATTACCTCTTGCTTAGGGTTGTCCTCTTTCACCCTCTCCTGGATTCTTTTGAGTAGCCCGACATTTTTCCCAGTCAGATTTGGCGATCCATCTGTGGTAACGTTGGCAAGCATACTCCAAGGTAGCTTGTGCCTCTCGATGACCCCCGACACTCTGTCATACAAGTCCTCTCCCTGCGTTGACTGGTTGTTAGCATAATTAGCATACTTGGTAGAAAAGTGATGGCTGGTGTTGTATTCCTTTAAAACTGCAGCGGTTTCTTGGCAAATAAGACATACAGCCTTTGACTGGACTTCAGTAAAAAATATTTAGTTGTCCATTCGTTATTGAACACTTGGCACTCGCTGTCGACTTTTCTTTTCTTTGGCCCACTCATTGCTGCAGATGGGTTCAGAGCAGTAGCAGAGTAATAACTGAGAGTAGCCCTGGCTCCGCAAAATCAAGTCAATGTATCACCGCACCTAATGCGCCACCTGGTGGAACGCCAGGCATTACAGGACAAGGTCAAATGAATACAGTCATAATTATGATATGATTTGATTTGGACAATCCTGTACCAATCTTCGCTGGGCCGGATTAAAAGGACCAACAGGCCAGATGTGGCCCGCAGGCCGTAGTTTGCCTACCCCTGCTTTACATCATGGTCATAAGTGGTCTGCCTATGAGACCACTGTTTCAGAATGTCATACAGTTGATTAAAGAGGTAGTCCTGAAATTTAGGGTTACATTACCACAATGTAATAATAGAATTAATATCATTCCTGACTTGTAAAGAGCTTTCATTACCATTCAGTTTGTAAATACAACTGGTAGTTTTCTGAAATTTTAAAAACATATCCTGACATGACATCAAGTGCCTAAAAACCAAAAGAACATGGAGATCAGCCATTCCTTTGGTAATGAAACCCAAAATTAATTGGTGTAGTGGTATATTGTTCATGCACAGTATTTTTAACACAACCAACTCTGGAAGCATACAGCTGCCAAAATTGAGTGAACACTAACAAGGTGTAAACAAGGCTATGTTTTACATTTATGCCTTCCTTTTCTTATTACATGAACAATGCGAAAGGCCCATCTGATAAGTCAGGTAGTTTCCTCAAACTTGACTAAAGTCCTCAAGCTGCTGCTGTAACATTAATATGCCTCTTCTCTCCAGGGACATAAACCCTCACATCCCACAGTATATCTCTTCAGTGCCATGGTATATTGACCCATCCAAAAGACCCACACTAAAGCATCAGAGACCCCAGGATGAAAAGCATATGCAATACTCAGCCATTGGAGACTGGTATAAGAGAGGAGTGCAAGAGGTGAGGATGAATCATTAACTTACTTTCATATAGCTATAACAAATGCACTTTTACAGTTAATAGCTTAATGTTCTTTTTCCACACAGACTGATGTTGTCACTAAGTTTCGTAAGGGAGCTTGTGAAAACTGTGGCGCCATGACACACAAGAAGAAAGACTGCTTGGAGGTACAAATAAAAAAATTTAAAAAATCTTTTGAAAGAATTTTCAAAACAGTTAGGCTACCTTTGACTCATTTCTAATCCTTTATTTTATACAAAGGGTATTTCCTTATAATTAAATGTTAATCCCTGACCTTCACTTTTGTCTAACCAGCGACCCAGAAAAGTTGGGGCAAGGTACACAGGCACAAGCATTGCTCCAGATGAACACAGTCAGGTCCAGCTCAGTTTGGACTATGATGGGAAGCGGGATCGTTGGAATGGTTATGACCCAGAGGAACACCAGCGCATTGTGGAAGAGTACGCCAAAGTTGATCTAGTAAGCGGTCCAGTGGTAGATTTAGTGTGGTTGAAATCTGGAGCATTTACTTTATTTGGTTTATTGAGAAGAAGAAAAACAAACTTGGAACCTTATAACTCCATTACAACCTCAGTTAATACAAAGCAACTTGAAACAATGAACATGGGGATTTTTATTGGTAATTGGACCAATTAACCACCAGAAACCCATGATTCTTACAAAGCTAAACCCATCCAACTTAACTGAGGGCAAGTTGAAGTCAGAAGTGATGCTCAGTTCCAGATACTGGGACTCAAATTAGTTGTGATGGCACCATTATGTTCAAAAACATCGCATGTAACTGTGTTATCTATTTCCAGTGCACTAATGAATCTGACTTTGTCTTTGTTTCTGCCTCTCAGGCCAAAAGGACACTGAAGGCACAGAAACTTCAGGATGAGTTAGCCTCAGGAAAACTGGACCAAAGTGTAAGTGTTCAGCAATGTCAAGATAATAGTTATGGATAAAATCTCTATATTTTTTAAAGAAATAAAATGCAGATCTTGCCATTTACTTATTTATTTCCTTGAATCTTTTCTCTGCAGGAGCGAGAACATGACAGTGAAGGTGAGGATGAAGATAAGTACGCAGATGACATTGACATGCCCGGTCAGAACTTTGATTCTAAGAGACGAATCACAGTCAGGAATCTGCGTATCAGAGAAGACACAGCTAAAGTAAGAGAAACATGACTGTTGATCTGTTATTTACTTTTAGCTTTCTAACTGTCATACTTGTTTTTTGTGATGGATGTTTGCTGAATTAAATGAATACAGAGGAAACATTTGCTCATCACTGTTAAAGCTGTTGATTTAAGTGAGAGTTGAGAGAATTTTATTAACCCGTATGTAATCAGAACCTTTCATGTCTGTCTCCCACAGTACTTGAGAAATCTGGATCCAAATTCAGCCTACTATGATCCAAAGACTCGAGCTATGAGAGAGAACCCTTACTCCAGTACTGGCATGAACCCTGACGAGTATGTTACTGCCACCCAATTTCCTGACAACTCAGTTCTGCTTACTGGTTTACACTGTAATAACTTATAAGCTGTTCTGTCTGACAGAGTCGGATACGCTGGCGACAACTTTGTTCGCTATTCTGGCGACACAATCACGATGGCTCAAACACAGTGTAAGTGACCAAGATATTTTCTAGCTCTGTTCTATTGTCCTTCATCTTACAAAAATGGCAAGTATATTATTGCTACTTCAGTGATAAAACAGTTTTATGTTTTCTGGGATTATTGGTATGTTGGTGCTGTACTTATACTTTTAGTAGCACCAGACCAGCTGTGCTTGTATTTAAATATATGGTTGAACAATGTGGCATTTACATAGCTGCAAGTGTGTATGTGTTGTCAAGACAAGATGTCGTTGGAGACATCTCAAACCATTTATATTGTTGTTAACATTATTGGATTTGGTTTGCACTTTAGTCATATGACTGCCAAGATCTATTTGGGCAAAATCAAAAGAAGGGAATTATTGCACAGGACAGTAAAGCACATGCGAGTTATAAACAAAATCATTGTTATCCTTGACATATTGTAACTGAAGGAGCATCTGCAACATTTAAAATAAAGGTTACAACCACATCTTAAAAGAGGTAAAGCCTGTTCACACAGCATGAATAGTTTTACATAGTTGATATTTATGCTGTAATTGCTTTAATAGTGTGAGTGATAGCAGCCTAACATCACCTTGCCTTAGCTAGCAGACACAGCCAAAACTGAAATCAAAGATTTTTATTTTCAATTCACTATATGTGCCGGACATACAGAAAATTGAAATACAGTTTCTCTCTCGCCTAGTATTGAATGCCATACCATTTACGAAATTAAAATAGAATAAAGTAGAGTAAAAATGGACTAAAAAGAATAAGAAAACTAAGTCAAAGTGATTAGGATAAAAACTCAATGGTAGAACCCATGACTCAAACCATGTACAATCAGTGACAGTTGTGCAAATAATAAGAAGAAGACTGTCAGGTGGTTGTGAGATTGAGATGCACATGAACAGTAGTGCAAATGACCAACAGCAGCAGATATGACGGTAAAAACAGTCAGCAGCAGGTTTACATGTAATATAACAAGACCCAAAACAGCAGAGATAGTCTTTTTATGTTCTGTGGTGGGTCACAGTCCAGTGTGAAGAGCAATGGGCTGAGCACACATCCCTAGTAGTAGCCCTAGTAATATTATTTGAATGATAAGAGGTATTATGGCTGTAAATGTTAGAATATTTTTTCCAGTTGTGTGCACTGCTCTAATATAATGTAAAGATGAGCTGAGATACCACACAATTTACATTCACTCTCAGACAGATACAGTGGTGTGAAAAAGTGTTTGCCCCCTTACTGATTTCTTATCTTTTTGCATGTTTGTCACACTGTAATGTTTCAGATCGTCAAACAAATTTATATATTAGTCAAAGATAACACAAGTAAACACATCATGCAGTTTTTAAATGAAGGTTTTTATTATTAAGGGAAAACAAAATCCAAAACTACAAAGCCCTGTGTGAATAAGTGTTTGCCCCCTAAACCTAATAACTGGTTGGGCCACCCTTAGCAGCAACAACTGCAATCAAGCGTTTTCGATAACTTGCCATGAGTCTGCCACAGCGCTGTGGAGGAATTTTGGCCCACTCATCTTGGCAGAATTGTTGTAAGTCAGCCACATTGGAAGGTTTTCGGGCATGAACTGCCTTTTTAAGGTCATGCCACAGCATCTCAATTGGATTCAGGTCAGGACTTTGACTAGGCCACTCCAAAGTCTTCATGTTGTTTTTCTTCAGCCATTCAGAAGTGGACTTGCTGGTGTGCTTTGGATCATTGTCCTGCTGCAGAACCCAAGTTCGCTTCAGCTTGAGGTCACAAACGGATGGCCGGACATTCTCCTTCAGGATATTTTGGTACACAGCAGAATTCATGGTTCCACTTATCACAGCATGTCTTCCAGGGCCTGAAGCAGCAAAACAGCCCCAGACCATCACACTACCACCACCATATTTTACTGTTGGTATGATGTTCTTTTTCTGAAATGCGGTGTTACTTTTACACCACACATAATGGGACACACACCTTCCAAAAAGTTCAACTTTTGTCTCGTCTGTCCACAGAGTATTATCCCAAAAGTCTTGGGGATCATCAAGATGTTTTCTGGCAAAACTGAGACGAGCCTTTATGTTCTTTTTGCTCAGCAGTGGTTTTCGTCTTGGAACTCTGCCATGCAAACCATTTTTGCCCAGTCTCTTTCTTATGGTGGAGTCATGAACACTCACCTTAACTGAGGCAAGTGAGGCCTGCAGTTCTTTGGATGTTGTTGTGGGGTCTTTTGTGCTGCAGTCCCCAAGCTTTAGAAATGGCTTTATAACCTTTTCCGGACTGATAGAGCTCCATTATTCTCTTTCTCATTTGTTTTTGAATTTCTTTGGATCTCGGCATGATGTCTAGCTTTTGAGGATCTTTTGGTCTACTTCACTTTGTCAGGCAGGTCCTATTTAAGTGATTTCTTGATTGCGAACAGGTGTGGCAAGAGAAATTGAACTCAGGTGCGATAAACCAGTGTTTTGACAGGGGGGCAAACACTTGTTCACACAGGGCTCTATAGTTTTGGATTTTGTTTTCCCTTAATAATAAAAACCTTCATTTAAAAACTGCATGATGTGTTTACTTGTGTTATCTTTGACTAATATATAAATTTGTTTGACGATCTGAAACATTACAGTGTGACAAACATGCAAAAAGATAAGAAATCAGTAAGGGGGCAAACACTTTTTCACACCACTGTATGTACCATGTATTTATACTTCATCCTGTAACCACTGTTAATGCTTCATCTTGTGACAGTGTTTGCCTGGGAAGCCTATGAGCGAGGCTCTGAGGTGCATCTGCAGGCTGATCCCACCAAGCTGGAGCTGCTCCACCGCTCCTTCAAGGTCAAGAAGGAGGACTTCAAGGAGGAACAGAGGGAGAGCATCCTGGAGAAGGTACATACCTGACAATAGCAGGCTGGAAGCAGACTGCAAAACGGCATTTTTGCAGAGTCATTACATTACACTGCGACAAGGGTCTTATAAAATCAAGGTTTCCAATATCTACCGACTAAGTCTATTTGAAAGAAAGTCAGATTTTACATTAATCTTACATGATCCATTCATTTGTTGTGAAAAAGCAAAGATGCTTTTTATTTTTTATTTCAGCATCATTTAAAATGACACCTACCACAGATAATATAGTATTGTAACTATCAGTCTGGTACCTATGTACATGTGTTTATGGGCACTTGCATTGTATTCTGTGTTATTTAATTCCACTAATTTGTAGCAGCAGTCACCTTGTGAGAGTATGATCACAAATTCCTCACACTGTCAAAATTTTAACAGCGGCTGTCTTGGGTCACCAAGACGGTGGGTGTTTCTTGCAGTGCGATCTAGGATTGGATCAACAACCAAAGATTATCAGCACATTTCTTTAAGCCCAAAATAGTGTATAGTGCCTGTAAGTACCATACTGGCTGATGATTTTACTGATGGTGTTTATGCTCTTGTGTGGGTGGCAATCAGTATGGAGGTGAAGAGTTCTTGGATGCTCCACCACGGGAGCTGCTGTTGGCCCAGACGGAGGACTATACGGAGTACTCTCGTCATGGCGCTGTACTGAAAGGACTTGAGAAGGCCATCGCCCGCTCCAAGTATGAGGAGGACGTGCTCATCAACAACCACACTGTAAGGGTGACACAACAGGCTATGGCTCCTGTTAAGTTTGTCACATTTCATTCACTGTTTTATGTAAAAAAAATAAAATAAAAAAAAATTTATTCTTTGTCTGTAGTGTATTTGGGGCTCGTACTGGAAGGACGGCTGCTGGGGATACAAGTGCTGTCACTCCATGGTCAAACAAAGCTACTGTACAGGAGAGGTTGGAATTGGAATAGTGAGTACATAAACTAACAGTGTTTAAAACCTCTGTTTGATACACATGGTATATTAGCTTTTATAATAAAGTCTTTACATGCATACTGTTTTCTGTTTTAATATCCTGCAGAACAACTCAGACCGTGCTCCATTTGAAGGGGCGCTAACCGAGCCACAGGAGGAAGAACAGCCCAAGTCTCTGCTGGAAGTAAGTGAAAATGAAGAGGTTTAAATTTTGATAATGAACATATGGGATTTTTTATTGCCAGTGGTAATTGTAGACATCATTATATGTTCATCGTGTCAATGTTTTCAATCACCAGATGCATCGAGATAAGATTAAAGAGAAGAAGAAGAAAAAGAAGAGCAAAAAGAACAAGAAGCACGGCTCTAACAGTGATTCGGAGGATGAAGAGAAGAAGAAGGAGAAACTGAAGAGGGTAAAATGTTTTTGTGTTTAAAGATGGCAAAAGCTGAGTCTCTGCTCATTTTTCTGTATCTCTGGTTTGGTTAATTGCCTTGACTGACCAGCTCTCTGTTTCTTCCTAGGCACTGGAAGCAGAGGACAGGTGGGTGAAGCACATAGAAGCAATAATGCAGCTGGATGAGAGGAAGAGGCCATACAGCAGTCTGCAGGAAGTGAAGGCACCCACTGAGGAGGAGATGGAGGCCTTCCGTATGAAACGCAGCCGGCCGGATGATCCCATGGCTTCCTTCTTGGGAGAGTGAGCTCCTCTTATCCCTGCTGACTCCCTGAAACTCTCCCTACGGACTCTACAAGAGCAGCTGCTCAGTGGAAAAAGTCTCCAATTATAAAACTCAACTTTCAACCTGTACATTTACAGCACACATTTGCTTTTTGGTCACCAATGTAGCATAAACTGTGTACAGTATATTCTATGTTTTTGTTTGCCCTTTTTTATTTTTCAAGCATCAGGAAATTACACCTAACCAGTTCCACATTTAAAAAGTAAAAATGACACTTTTCTTGGATGCTTTTAAGCACATTTCAGTCAAACATAAAATAGTCCACCCTTAGTAACAGTAAGGTATTTCACTGAGATCAATGCATTTTATAATAAAAATATATTTGTCTGAATACACTGTGTCTTTTGTTTTACAGGGACGATGCTATGTAGCGTCACTGTATATGTGCCAGTGTTAGATAAAAGGATAGAGTTGAACTAGTGACCCCCTTCAGGACACACTTGGAGACCTATAAACATTATGCTTTGAATTAGAATTAGCATCTAATATGATTTCCGTTAAAATGTTTAATTACCTGGTTAAAATGTTATTTCTCTGTGTCAATATAAATTCCATTTATTTGAGATTTCAAGTTTTCAGTTTACTCTTGTGTAAGTTGCACACTGAACAACAATTGGCCACTGAACCAGTCTGGCTCTCATGAGTATCGTGGAGATCACTGACTATTAATGTTGCATACTTTTTTTGCTGCTGTATGCCTAATATGTGCTGATCAGGTATGACCTGAATATAATATTTATTGTGAGTTGTGTTTTTTTTTTCTAATAATATCCCAAAGAAATCTGCAACACAACAACCAGTATTGTGACATTTCTGTTCACATGGTTCCATTTAAACGTAAAACAGTAAATTGCTAAACACAGAGTACTGCCTCACCCAACATCTGGAACGTTTTTTGTTGGTCTCTCTGCTCTCTGGCTCTGCTTCACACCAGTAAACAAAACGTGGAAATCATAGTGTACTTTATACACTCCTGCAGATCTCCTTGTTATTCTGTTGATTTTACAGTTGAAGCTTGATGGAAATTGGAAACAGTGAAATGCTTATGGGATTTTTCTAATTTACAATACACAAACTTGGAACTTTATCATAATTATATGGAATTAATTCTATCACCTTGTTCTGTACTTTTCATCATGTTTGTCGTGCAGCTCTATTTTCCCATAGTACAGGTTTATGAACAAGGGATTTGTCATTTCTTCACTTGTGCAATACAGTTGCACTGACTTGAACATGATGACATCATGGTGAAAATATTTTTGGCAGTGTACTTGATTAAACAGGGTGGATGTTATGGCCTGTGATTCACTGGGCTGCACATTTCTCTGCAGCGCTTCTCCAGGAGCATGCTGTCTCACCCGATTATTGGAAAATCATGTAGGAAGGTTTGTGCATTCTTTTGCAGTAAAAGGACTTGGAGAAAACAGAAAAATGCCCATAGGCCATAGTTTCTCAGCTGGTGAGTTGTCCGTGTGTTTTTAAAATATGTGATGCACTTCCTTTGCAAAAACATGCTGTAAACGTTATTCTTTACTTTTATGTAACTGGTGTGTGATAGATCATATTTCTCTGTAAGCATGCAGTCATAGTGAAAAACGTCACTATTAGGATGAACATGTAATGTTTTTTCATCAGATTAGATACATTAGTAGGCAGTATGCATGTACTCTGCCACCACCACTTCTCGTTTTAGTCTCAGACTTGGCAGATTTTTATGTTTATTATCTTTGCATCATCTGATTATGACTGGTACACAAAGACCAAATCGTATTTAATGTAAACAATCACTTTTCCTGTTCTTGTGACTCCACAGTGGCCATTATAGTCCAGATGTGTTTGATGTTCTGTTTGCTGCCAGCTGTTGTCTGCCAGTCAAAGATTTCCTCATCAAAGAGGGGTCACAACATTACCATTCACTCCTCCCAGCTGGCCTGCAGTCTGCCAGGTCCAGCAGGTCCTACAGGGAACCCAGGAGCTCCTGGATCACCAGGGCCCATGGGGCCCATGGGGCTGCCAGGGAAGGATGGCCCAGATGGGAAGGATGGAGATAAGGGACAAAAGGGAGATCCAGGTAGTGATGTAATGACTTTTCTGTGGCAATGTTTGATTTAGTTCTTGCATTTCTTTTAGTCTGTTGCTTCTTGTACTGTCAAATATGAAGAATACCTGTGATAAATGAGTCCAGCAGAGCTCCGATCTCATACACAGTGTCAGATCTTGTCTTCTAGTTCCCTTACATGTAAGAGTTCCCAAGCTAAGACAGATATCACAGCTCTTCTGACAGTGTGTGTTAACCTGATAACCCAGTGCCCCTTTTAATGATAGGGGGCAGCAGGTTCCTCTCAGGGTATGATGAACTGTGAGGTATAAAGTCTGATAGAGCAGCTATTCTGGGCTCTTTCTACTGGATATTCGTAATCAGTAAAGCATGCATGGTTTTATTGTGCTAAGTAAAATATATTCATTGTTATAATTTTGTCTCTGTTGTCAGGTGATTCAGGGAGGACTGGGAACCCAGGTAAGCCAGGCGTTAAAGGCCGTGAGGGTGTTATTGGTAAGGCTGGACCTAGGGGACTGAAGGGGCCACGCGGAATATCAGGGGTGGCTGGAAAACAAGGACAAAAGGGAGAGGTGGGTGACGTGGGTCAGCAGGGAGCTCCAGGAGGGTGTAATTGTGGCAGTCAGGCCCGTTCAGCCTTCTCTGTGGCGGTGACAAAGAGCTACCCTAAAGAGCGAATGCCCATCCGCTTCAGCCGGATC